CACTTCTCGCTTCCATTGCAGCATTGACTTGTCTTGGAGTGAATCCTTCCTTGTTCTTTCAAGCGGATGCCATCTTGGAGGTCATCTCGAGTCCAGCATATCCATTCTGTTTGTTTGAAGAAAGTTCGAAATGGGGTTGATTATTTAAGTTGCTTAACTGGCAACGGTACATCGCACTTGTCTCTTTGGCACCTGGTTCAACATTTGCTCCAAGTCGCTCCAACACATACACACCCTTACGATTCACTAATCGCATCTTTCTGTTTCCATCACAATGCACAATAAAAGCATTGTCAGCATCAGTATCCCGCAGCAATCATCTTGCGCATAGCAAGTACATTGGCAATTCCATCTTCATCGTGATAAACTGGAGGTGGAAATTTTCCTAGAAAACCTTCTTTGTCGAGAACTCTGCTGCCCACGTTAGTGTGGATATCAAGTTCTTTCTCAGCATGATGGAGTCCATGCATGAGCTCACCATTACAAATGGTGGTGTTTGTACAACCACTGTCCATGATGACATGATCGTACAACCCAAATGGATCTCTTTGCTTTCTACGGCTTTGGATAAACTGCAGACCTGGATCTGCTTCGGTAGCAAGATCAGGCAAATCTTCATCTTCACTAGCATAGTGCCAGTCGGCTTGAAGTTTGACATTTGTCATACCAGCAGGACATGGAATAAGATAGACATCATTGTCAGTCTCATCCTTTCCCTTGATAGCATCATGAAAGACATTTGACATATCAAAATATCCAGTTTTCACAGCTTGCGGAGTTTGAACCTTGAGTTGTATCGAATCCTTGGCGCACTTGAGCACCACTGAAACCTTGTTGGCTGAGTTGCATTCCACTGAACGCAATCTCACCGTTAGCATTCATAGAATAAGGGACAGTAACAGTGACGCCACCTTGAGTTGGAATCTGCATGAGCTGCATTCCAGAAGGAACTTGCATCATTTGTTTACCTGTAGTACCAGCAAGTTGCAAAGATGTGTTAACGCTTCCCGCAACACTTGATGCTCCACTTGTGGGTGCTGAAGCTCCAGGAACTATAGCTGGAACAGTAGCTGGGACAGCTGCTCCAATCTGATTAAGATTGAGCTTCTTCCCATTGTTGTTCCTTGCTTCATAGCAAAGAACTTTTGATTTGCTTCCCAGGAACACCCGGCAGATCGATGACTTTAGAATTCCTTGTGGTTCCTTCTCGTGAGATGACTAACTAACAAAGAAGACATTTCTCATAGATAAGAACATCTTGTCATTCATAAATAGTTTAAAAACAAAAGGGACATTTTTTTAAATCTTTAGTCACTAATAATTTATTTAGAGGTACAGCTGACATAATGATGGAAAACCTGCTTTTAGGTCGTGACTCATTACTTCTTTGTTCCAAATAAAAATTACTTATGGGATGTTACAATCGAGCCTCCTATTCTATAATCAGTTTTGAAGTGATTTGGAGGCAAAGAGATTTGTTTTCAATTTGTATGACCCGTGTGTTGCTAACGAAGTTGTTGATGAAAAACAGCAAACTATCAGGCTTCATGTTGACGATCTTATGTCAAGTCACATGGACCCAAAAGTAAATGACAAATTTGCTAAGTGGTTGAATATGAGATATGGTTTGATCAAGGCATGCACAATTGTCAGAGGAAAGATACACAGATATCTTGGAATGACTTTGGATTTCTTGGTGAAAGGAAAACTCAAGATCCGCATGGATGACTATGTCTAGAGCATGTTGGAAGATTTTCCTATCAAGTTCAACAAGGATTCAAAGCAGGAAACACCAGCTGGTAACGGTTTACTGGAGGCTGGGAAAGGAAAGTTACTCAATGCTGAGTACCATCAAATCTTTCATACTACCGTTGGCTGGGAAAGGAAAGTTCCTCAATGCTGAGTACCATCAAATCTTTCATACTACACATGCACGCTCAAACCAAGGGGATACAACAGATATTTTATTTGAATAAATACAGTTTCTATTCTATACATGTATAATAGTTTTCATTGAATAATGGAACTTAGTAAAATTGGTTGAGGGACAGGCAAGAGATATGAAAGGAAATACTATGCCAATGTTGGACAACCTGCAAAGAACAACTTGTGCGGCTATGGGATATTGAAGATTACCATGAGAAGCAAATCAAGAAGTAGAATAATAGATCAACACTGTTGGGATATGACAAAATATGAGATTTTACATTCCAAAAAAAAATATTCAAGTACGAAGTTTTTGCCATGTACAATCGGACTTTGATCGTGATGTTGGGATTCGACGCAAGTATGCCGGATGCAAGTCTGTCGGACAATCTACATCCACACAAAAAGGGAATGACAAAGAAACAGCAATTACATTGCACGCATGGAAAGGAATAAGAGAGGACAGTTATTCTGATTGGTACCAATGGCCCCACACTGCTTGCCCGTCTAGCCAATGGTGGACTGCATGGCAACAATGGATCTCTACTCATCTGACCGGCCACTCCAACCGACACCGCACTTCTCCGTTAGGCCTGTGGCACTCGGTTGACCTGCCCTGGAAGGGGCTGGCAATACTCCCCCTCTAGTACCAATACCCTGTTCCACCGTTAGGGTCACCTATGGATCCCTTCTGTTTCTCTTGCCTCCACCAGCCGTCAGCACCCCTTTTACTTGCCTCGACATTTCAACCCTGATCTCCCACCTCTACCAGTGGACGCTGTCGGCGCCTTGGTTTTTGTCTTCCCTAGCCGTTCTCCGATCCACAAGAGCCGGGTCCTCCTCCACTCTACGGGCCCTCACCTACCAGCCAAACCACCTGCCCCCCCAACTTCCTTCCTTGACCTCTGGCATCACTTCGGCAGTTTGGCTGAATCAGGTTCTCACAGCTGGGTTCCAGAGGTCATTACCATTGAAGGGAGTGAGGACCGCCTGGCTCAGGCTCTTCTTGCCGGTTCCCTTTGTGCCGTGAGCGACGGCTCTTACAAAGCTAAAGTGGGCACAGCATGCGCTCAAATTCTCACTGAGGATTGCAGGGATATCATCTGGATCACCTGCCAAACCCCTGGGAAATTTGAGGATCAGAGTTCAAGGCGCAGCAAATTGATTGGCCTTATGGCTTCTCTCCTGGTGTTGGGCTGGATATCTCAGGTCGCCCACCTGAAACTCTTTGCCAGCCAACCGTCAGTTGAGATGGCCTGTGACGGGCTCATAGCTCTTGATAAGGCAAGTCCTTCTCCAACATCCATGTGTCATCGTCTGGTGCTCAGTTTGATCTGGCCTCCACCATCCGGGCCTTGCTTTGCCACCTTCCCCTCCAAGTTCATCGGCGCCATGTTAAAGGCCACCTGGACAAGCACCAGCCTTTCTCCCAACTGGACTGGTGGGAGCAGCGCGATGTGGAAGTGGACTACAAAGCACAGTCCTATCGCCGCCTGCTAGAGTCCACATGCAGTTCTGCCGCCTCCAACTCCCGCTTCTTCCATGAACCTGTGTCTTTATTCATGGATGGTGTTAAGTCTTCCAAATTGGATCAGGCTCACATCATGGAGCTGGTCTCTCTTCCTGCCCTTTGAGCATATTGGTCCTCCAAGGACCGCCTCTCCAAGCAGTCCATACATGAGGTCGATTGGTTGTCTCTTGCACGCGCCATGAAGGCCCTCCCAGCAAATCTCCACCGCTGGACACCCAAGCATATTTCTGGTATGACGGGTTTGGGAAAATTCTTGGCCATTTGGAACCGGTCGGCAAAGAGCTCCTGCCCCAGATGCTCCTCCTGTCCCGTGGAAGATCACCTCCATGCTCCACGCTGTTCTGCTCCTACTGCAGTTGCAGAATGGTCAAAACGCCATCTGGCCCTCTGTACCTGGATGCAGACTCAGCAGACTGCCCCAGAGATCAAAGCCTTCCTCTTTGAATACCTGAAGACAGTCCGTCAGCCTTCCTTGGGGGTCCCCACCGTCCAAACCTGGTCCTGCCATCCCCACCTCTTCCAAAGTGCCGTCTCTTCCCAAGCCATGCTTGGGGCCCAGAGCCTCCTTGAAGGCCTAGTGTCCCCCAAATGGAGACACCTGCAGGCCCTTCACCTCTCCTACATTGGCTCCAAGAAGTCTGCCAACCTTTGGGCCTCCCGCCGCCTGATCCAACAACTGATCCGGATCAGGCATTACATGTGGAAAGACCGCAACCGGCTTGCCCACTCTGAAGACAGCTCCTGGCACATAGCTCGCAAGCAGGAGATTGACATTGGCATCCGCAAACAGTTTGCCATGGGCCTGATGGATATCCCCCCACGCTCGCAGTACCTCTTTCAGGACTCCCGCAAAATTGTCTTCAACAAATCACTCAAAGATTGTCAACATTGGCTGTGTCTTGTCTTCCATGAGAGAGCAATCAACCGTCGCTCTCTAGCCAGGCAACGCCAGATGATTTTTGACCTGGCACAACCCGCCAACCCAACATTGACTTGGCCACCCGGCGCAAGTCCATAAACAGACAGATGTCTCGGTCATCTATCTGCCCCTTCTATGTTTCACTCTCCCTCTGTTGATCACAGGCCTAGGGAACTGCAGTCTGTCATGTAGATGGTGGCCACATTGTTCTGGAACACTCCATTCACTTGGATCAATACACCCACGGCAGTAGGGCGCAAGAACAAGTGGCTTGTCACCTGCTACACAACCCTGCCCACTACCACCTTCAAAAAACACAAAAACCAAATAAAAATATGCCGCCTCGAGTGGCAAGTTCGTCTCTACATGTGCAAGGGTGCAATGTAATAAGCGATAGAGCAACTTCCCTGGGATTGGATGCCTCAAACTGGTTCAATAGTACTGGACTCACCTCCGTATGGTAAATGGCCATGACAGCCGTTAACGGCAATCTAGAAACTTGAGATAGTTTTAATACGATTAATGCATCAGTTATATGTAATTTTGGACTGCCCATAGTTTGATCAATTTGACCAATCCCTCCCCTGCAATTTTCCACACTAGTAGCAAGTACTATTACCAAACTCCGACAATAAAGAAAAAAATTGGCCCAATCCGACAAACATTCAACAACTATCAAACAAGATTTGTTCATAATGCATCATTATAGCGTCATGTGGTTATCACTGTTTCGTGGCACATTCATGAATCAATTCTAATGTGAATGTGCACAGAAATATCTGGAACAATGGTAAGCTCCAACAATAGTGAATTTCTCCTCAATATCGGATGCGAGGCTTTTGTATTTTGTTTGTCTTTTCTTCAGTTGCCTTTCGTTTCTTTTGCTTCTCTTTCTCTCCATCTGATGGTGGTCCTCTAACGATGTCATCTAGACCTGCAAGCAACTTGTCCAAATAGCCAGTCACTTCATCTGTTTTCCTTACAATGCCTTGCGTTTCTGGTGCTTTTTTTGTCTTTAATTTTGGGCGGAGTCGCAAGACTTGCTCTGTAAAGTTATTCGTGGTGGTCTCGCTATCAGCTTCTCGATGGGCACCCAAAAAGCTGTGAGAAGCAAGAACTTCTGACATTTCATCGTGAACTCCTGTCAACTCCCAGAATGCTTCTGTCAATCCAAATTCGTCATTGGTTGGTATCCGCAGCACTTTGGATACTGCCATTCCCTCTTCAAGATTCTTGACGCAATCTGGTTTCAAAGTATAGTCTCCATCTTTTGACTTGACAGATGAACCAAACACCACCAAGAGGCAAAGGGCACCAAGCTCGCTACCACCTTTCACCGCTTCAAATTTTGCTTTCATGTTGTCACATTCAATGCTTGCAGATTTTGGACAGAAACTGGATTGCGACTTGATGGACACAAACATCGGAACGTATTGGTACTTTTTTGATGAGGATGAGCCAGTGGCGGTGACGCCGCCTTTTCTTGGTGCTGCCACTGATATTCGCAATGCAAATACAACATCAATGACACTGCAACCTGCAAACACATAAAATCCCACACCCGTTTTGTACATGTTTTCCAAGAACACTTCATTCTGAAGTAAAGACCACGAGTCATCATACGCACGGGCATAATTACGACAGACTTGGATGGCACTGAAATGGACCTGGCAATCGTTATTTTGACTCATCAGGTCGTCACCGTCGTCACCATCATCACCACTACGACCCCCATTGATTAGACAATTGATCCAATCATTTAGTGGTACTGAGAAAGTAGTGTACTCCTTATTGTCCTTCAAACTACCTCGGACAATATCTGCACAGAACAAAAAATACAAAGCCACCATGACTTCCCCAAAGTCTCCCTTTTCCGGTGAACAAAAATGGTCTGAAAATAGGTCCTTCATCTTCTGTACCCACCATACTTTTGGTCTTCCATTCAGAGTCGTGTCTTCTGAAAGAGCCATGGACCAACTATCATCCATGAGACACATTGCCAATCGCGCACAAACAGGATCTGGTGGGAAACAAATTTTGGCAGTTTGCTTGTCATTGCCATCGACTGTAGCAGGGCTAACCGAAACAAGGTTGGCGTAAGAACGGCCCACAAGACCAGAAGCTGCAGCAAATGTCGTTTGTCCCATCTGCACTCGTGTGCCCAACACACTGAGCCAGGTTGCTGCTGTATTTTTGAATGCGCTTGGTGAAGCATCTTGAACAATACGTTGAACAATGATTGACTCGCCAGCCTTCAGTTCTTGTTCGGACATGGCAGCAAAAAGAGGCCGCCCGCGAGGAACGGCGACGCTGTATTCGCTCTTATTTGATGATGAATCATCCATTTTGACAAATCGGAGACACCCAATCGTAGTAGTAGTGTAAAATGGTGTGTAGGACGTTTTCTCACCCCTCGTGTAGAATTCAAGTTTAGGTGACGTGTACTCACGAGTATCGGTATCCGTCTTGTTTGTAATGTCGTCATCAATGATGAAGTTGGTTAATTTTGCAGTCGTCCCGGTGAATACAGCAACGATTTGCAAATTCCCCCGCTTCTTGCGAATCCAAAGGCGAACGATACGAAAGAGCATTGCGTCCATTTTTGTCGTTTTCGTTTCCTTTCCCTTTCCCTTTTCCTTTGTATACTTGCCCTCATCAAGTAGGTAGTGTGCTTCGTCAAAAAACAAAACCAATTCCGTCGGCTCATCAGCAATATTGAGCAAGGCAATCATGTCATCCAGCTTTTTAAATACGCCGTCAACTACTTGTTGAAAGGATTGATTGCTGTTTATGCCGTTTCGGAGATCAATGAACGCGTCAAACAGGTCCTTCTCCTTTTTCCTTTCATCGCTTTCCCCTTTTGCATTGCGGCAGAGAATGAGCCGACCCACAATATTGGTACCACTCTTAGATTTCCCTTTACCACTCTTAGATGTCCCTTCTTCATTCATCTTGTAATGCTTGCACAATTCGTAGAGAATCTTTGTCTTCCCCATTCCACTCGATTGCACAAAGCAAATATAGGGTCCATAGTACTCGCCTTCATTGCCTTTCTTGTAAAATGTCAGAAATATAAAACAGATTTTTTCGTGCAGTTGGAGCATATCAAAATCGTGCGTCAACGCTGTGTCGATCACTTTGTGAGATATGCCAACGAATTGCCGCTCCTGTTGATACACATTCGTACCAGGCTTCTTGCCGCCTTGTTCCAAAAACTTCACCAAGTCGTCGACGGTAGCTTTCAATTGATCCCTGTTGATATACGACCAGAGAAAGCCTCGTAAGTCATGAGATGAAGCTTCGTCCCACATCTCTTTGATCTCAGTTGCCATCATGTTTGTATCAGGTTGTCGTCCAGGTTTCCACGTTTCTTTTGGTATCGTGTTTTCAAGGTAGGCTGCAATGTCTTCGACAGATCGACTGCTGCTGCTGCCTATATTTGCCGCATCAGATGTTGCTGCTTCCGCCATTATGATATGAAAGGGAATAATGTATAGAATGGATGGATGGATGGATGGATGGATGGATGGATGGATGGAATCGATGCGTGCACAGTCTTTTGAAGTAAAGGTTGAAGGTGGAGCACCCTCAAACTGCTGTTTATACGTCGATGTGTATTATACATGGATGTACCTACTACTCGCACAATCGGTAGTACCGTTTACGTGCACGTGAACACATACACGTGATGTATGATACAGAACCTACTGGCGATGCTGGCTCGCCATATATGTGATAAATTTCATCATACCGTACTCTTGGTAGTAACGATAATATACCGGTATATTACCGCATGTGATTCATCAGTCAAATCAATTGTATGAAGGCCAGAGATGATGAAGTGCACGAACTGCCGGTATGCATAGATATGCAGTTCCTTAAAGCAACTACTAGAGATATAAAATGAACTGAAGGATCCTCAATATATTAATCGTTATGCATTATTCTTACTAGAGCCACACAACGGACCAGGATTGCGGTTGCATTGCTACACGTGTTTTTTTTTAAATGGGGGCAATCACGAACGAGGATTTTGGGAAGCATCAAGCCATTGAAGGGGTCGCCGACAGCAGCTGAGGCGATTGGCGACACATCGAATAATGCGGTGTGCTTATACATACGACATATAATATACAGTACGAGCATCTCCTATACCAGCGTCTGATCGAGCATTCAAACAATTCATTGTATGGGAGTGAGACAAAGTGTAATACTTTTGCTTTCATCATACTCTGTCATGAATTTCTGTCAGGGATAGGGCTGAAATCAGTAAATGAAAAGAAATGCAAAGGGACAGGAAGTCATCATCCTTGCCGGAACAAATCAATTGGGCCACCTTGTGTTTTCTGCTACTTGAACATGTGATTTTCAATCGCCTGTGTGTTTCATTTCCAAGAATTACCTCCGCTTGTACTGTGTCAAACCTACGGAAATGTCCTTCCTGCCCCAGAATAGTGTGGGCTTGCGGTGTATATTTGGTGTCACAGACGGCTCAGGCTGACAAGGATTTCTCATGAGGCCAAGGGAAAGAAACCTGCAATTCCAAATTGAAAAGAAGCCAAACCCCGGCAAGAAGTCGAAAGCATGTTGAAGAAAAGAAGGCATATCCAGTCAAAGGAAGCAAAGAAGCTCAGCATTTAGAAGTACCTGGCAACGTGCGCCCAATCCAACAAATTAACGCCCACAATTACAAAATGCAGCGTTAAGAGTATAATAACAATATGACATACACAGTAGCTATACAATGGATCACCTCTTTTTTTAACCTTTTTTAAAAAGCAATGGTATACCAGAGATTGGTTCCATATGGGAGTCGATCAATCGTCAAAGGGGTCAGAACACGACGATATGAGAGTAATTCTCAGCAGTTAAGCAAGAACTACAGTATTCTGAACTTCGCACTAGGATTCACTCACATCTACATCTCGTTTTCCATCTTTCCATTTACTAGGGATGTTGGATTGCTAAAGGCTGGAAAGAGTGTTTTACACCAAATTCGACGATTACGGTGTAAATAGGTTATCAAAAAACTTCTTCCCCATCTCCACACCAAGGAACAGTGCAGCATTTGCGGGGAAAGCCCTCACGACAGTTGGCCCCAAACCACTATACAGTCCCGTCAAGCCTCGTTCTCTGATGATCTTCATCAATTCTGGAAAATAGCTCCCAACGACCTTTGTATCATAGCGAGATTGAACATTTGTCTTTGGCACATCAAACTGTAAAGAACAACAATACAAACAATACCAGTCGTGTGAATATTCGTTGCAGCGCAAAAAGCAGCATCGCATCGAAACTACTCACAGGCATCGCCATGGTCCAGCCAAACATGCCCGCAAAACCACCACTATTGGAGGGGAGAAACAAGAATTGAGCGGTGCCCAAACATGGAGCCGTGACAAATCAAACATCCTCTTCCCATCACGTACCTCAGAAAGTAGTTCAGTTCCTCTGGCATACTTGGTACATAGGTCCTGAAGCCATACACAAAAAGGTCATACCCTCCAAAAAAGAATCTTGACAGGGCGTGAGAATGCATTCAAAAGAAACTTAAAGGTTCTGGACGACGACAACCTACGCGTAGAACGGAGCATCCCGACACAGTTGTGCGTCCAAGCCAACAAACATCGACCTCATCCCTTGTGACTTTATCATCTTGCGCACAATTTCTTGCGAGGACACGGGTTTTCCAACAACGACTTGCGTTTTTGCTTTGACAACTTCACTCGGCAGGAGAACTGTTGCACTAAAGCATCCAGTGATGCTCCCCTGAAGAACGATTGTCGCCTGTTAGTCATCTACTGCTCATGGGTCTTGTGGCATTCTATTATACGGACGGCTTACCATGAGAAAGGGCTTCAATAAATTTGGGGCTCCTCCTTCAGTAGAACCCCCTTCATTATCTGGAAAGGTTCGTTTTAAAGCTTCATTCACACCAAATGCCATACAATTTTCGAGAACCATCCCACCAGCAGTAGGTACTGATCCCTTCCAAAATGACGCAATACCTTCATTCGAGAGCATCGAAGCTGATGCAGAGTATATTCCAGTGAATAGATCAGGTCGAGTTTGCATCCTCACTTTGACAGTATCGAATGGTTGACTTCCAAATCAAGAATGATGAAAAAGCAAAGGATGAGGGACGCATGCACCATATTCGAGTCTGATATTCCAAGTCCGGCTCCTCCTCAACGCACCCTACGTAGCAGCATGCCACTGATCCAATTGATGCAGAGAATAAATCTCGGCTGATTGCGGTTGCATCTAGAGCTTCAGTTGCCATTTCTCAAGAGGATGAATGTCGTGCTGTTGGGAAATATAGTTGGTTGTTTCGCTTTGTGACGTTATTCGCCTGTCCGGCCACCCGGAGCTGAATAGAGAATTGGCCCTCTTGATTGGCCACGTCAATTCGTATGGCTTGTCTGTTAGCGGTTCGCGCACGTGCAGTACGGTGCGTGCGACACACACTTGAACGAAAGTTAGGGTCGGGTCAATGTTCGCAGTGGCGGTTATGATGGTGGATGACTGCTTGGACCCGTCGCTCAAAGACTAAACTACAGTATCATCCTCCTTCAGAGGACCAGGTACCGGTGCCCTGGGAGGATTCAAACCTGTAAAGCCCGAAACTGGAGAATGACACTTCGCATATTTCGTTCTTCCAAATTTTATTAGCAGGAAATAGGTATATAGCACTTCTGGATCTGCATTGCTTGGTGTACTGCGTACAGCAGGAGCAAGCGGAATGTGAATGGGTTGTCTTGTGCCTTTACTTCCCATACCTCCTACCATATCATATCCCGACTTCAAACCAGTATTTTACTGGCCCCACTAGATGATCAAGGAGACTTTACCGGGTCATAGATGGAGGGTGGTGAACCATTTGCAGCGACTCATGTATCATGAGAAAGCTGGAGCAGTTCAATGGCCTGGAAAGAAAGCAAATCATATCATGAAGAGAGGAGCGGGCAAGTTATAGCAGTATTGACGATCAAGTAAGTAGCTAGCTATGGCCGAGACCATGTGACAAATTCGAACCCAATGGTACTCGCTTGTGAAACCAAGGATATCAGTACAATTCGAAACATCCTAGTACACCTCTTTGTCATTCCATCTTCAGCAATACTATGATAGATTACTATGCAATCATCCATCATGGTAATTGCTGCAGCCTCCAACAACATCAAAATTCTATTTCCATCTTCACCAGGTTTCTATTCTTGGCCATTTATAACAAGGCTCCGCACATCATCATTTGCTCATTTCGGGGCTCCGATGAACGAAATCTACAGAAGAGCACGAATGTCACATCGTGATCAACAAAGCGCGAAGACGCGCATTAGTTTGCCAGTCAAGAAAAGGCGTTTTGGTTTCCATCTCATCTAAATCGTGTTTCGTGCGAGTCTGACACTCCGCAGTTTCAAGTTGTAGGTTGTAGAGGTCTGATCACAGGTACAACCTTGTAGTTATTCTACACGAATTTTGAATTCAGCACCGATATCGTGATGAGAATTCTTCGACATTCGTTTACGACGCTTCAGTACAACTCCTACACAAGTATCCTGTGATTGACCCAAAACTGAGAAATCAAACCTTGTTTTTTTCACACACACAAACTGTCATAATTTTTCATTTGGAATCAGTTGTAAAGCAGTCAATAAGAAAGGGTAATCATGGCACCAAAAACAGGGAATAAGAAGTCGAAGGTAAGAAGCGATCTTTGTATCTGCCAAGCACTAATCCCACGAAAGGATCCGGCTCTCACTGTTTTCCTTTTCAACTTGGTGCAACAGACCGCCCAAGAGGCCAAGGTGAAAAAGACTGCCAACTTTAAGAAGACGAAAGCTGCAGTTGCCAAGAAGCCCGCCGTTGCGAAGAAGCCGGCTCCAACCATGAAGAAAACGAAGAAGGTAGTCGACCCAGCTGCCCCCAAGAAACCTCTTTCCGGATTCATGAAGTTCAGCCAAGAACATCGTGCCACGGTCAAGGAGGCGAATCCTGAGCTTACATTTGGAGCGATTGGAAAGATGTTGGGTGAAATGTGGCGCGCTCTTCCTGATAAGGAAAAGGCAGCATACAAGCCCGCCAAAGGTTTGACAGACAAGGCCATCGAATCCGTGGTTGCCACCCCTGTCACCCCTGCCGCTTAGTCGAATGTTTCCGAGGGGTGGGCGTGTATCTCTCTTTGTCTGAGAGATGAATCGAAAACAGTGTGACAACTAGAGTCTTGTATTATTGCAGAAACTTTTTATTTCTATTGGTAGCCTGATTCGAGAACCGTGGATTCCTCGCTATTTTGAACATTACACTACTACTATTGGGCAATGGAACAAGGAGATGAAAAGAGAAATTTTTGTTGTGTTTCTCAGCACATCAAAGACGTGGGCAGAAGGATACCTACCTATGCGCCCTCCTTGTGCTAGAAACCGATCACAAAGAACACACCGAATTATTGACTTACGACTTGACGGCGGCAGCTCAATTAATGTAGCTCGATCCGGCTTGGATGCAAAATATATTAGAATCCCATGTCGACTTCATCGCAGTTGCGAATGAACCGATGCACAACTTTCCCACTTGAATGAAGAGCTGAACATGTACAGGAGCGATGTCACCATATTTCTTGTGATTGAAATGCTCAGCGTTGGGGATATGCGGGTACCAGTCTATTACAGTTGTATTGCTGCTTATCCTTGTTGAGTACACTTAGTGAGAGCCCGAAAATGCTAGAACAACGCCCTTCTCTAAATACGATCTTTTGATGCGACATCACGAATTTGATCACGTCAGTTCTCACATCAAAAATATGGTACATTCTCAATTTTGCGTGAAAGAAAAGCGACTTATTTCTTTTGTCACCACATAAATTTATTTCCGTCACCACGGACAAAAGCGTGACACTAGGCATTCGTTGTAGTTTGCCTTTCTTTTCCACGGCATTTTGGTTTCCGTCTCTCATCTTCTACTGGTGTCAGTCGTGTTTGTGCGAGTCTGACACGACGTTGCTGCAGAGCGTCAGTGTAGAAACATGTAGTAATCCTACGGGATATAGATTTTCAAATCGGTGTATGATGAGAATCCTTTGACCTTCGTCTACGACCCTTTGGTACGAATCCTACACAACAGTATCTTGAGATCGACCACCCACAGTGCAGAAACTTGTTTTTTTGCCCTCACACACATCCTTCATAATTTTCATTTGTAATCAATCAGTGAAATAACGAGAAAGCATGGCACCAAAGACAGAGGAAAAGAAATCAAAAGTAAGCAATCATCTTTGCACTCTGAGTAGAAGTAGTGTCGCTTCACCAACGTATGGATTTTTTCCCTGGCCAAAGTGATGCTTGTGATGTGTGCTCAAATAGTTGTTGCATCATCTGCTCAAATGCATATACCATTGTGGAAATATCAATCCCTCCTAATGAAGTGATTCTCACACATTTCTTTTAACTTGTTGCAACTCCAGACTGCCCAAGAGGCCAAGAACAAGAAGACAGTTGAAAAGAAGAAGCCTGCAGTTGCCAAGAAGTCTACCGCTGCCAAGAAGAAGAAGCCTGTTGAACCAAAGAAGGTCAAGACAGCTGAACCAAAGAAGGCCAAGACTGTTGAATCGAAAAAGGTCAAGCCAGCAAAGGTAGCTGTTGTTAAGAAAGTCGCCAAATCAGGAGCTGCCCCCAAGAAGCCACTTTCCGGATTTATGAAGTTCCGCCAAGAACATTTTGAGAAGGTCAAGGGCGAGAATCCAAGTGATTCTGCTGGCCAAATTGGAAAGAGGTTGGGAGACATGTGGCGAGCTCTTTCTAAAGAAGAAATGGCAGCCTACAAGCCCGCCAAGACTGCTGCAGTCAAGAAATTAGCGCCAGCTGTTGTAGCAACTGCCCCTGCCATTCTTGCGGCGTAGTCGAGTAGTGTCCAAGGGGATGGGCGTGTCTGTTCTTTGTAAATAGTTTCTTTGTACTACTCTGTGCCTGTAAACGTCTATTACTATGACTATTAGGACTACTATTGCTATTCTTTTCAGAATTTGCAACTACTGTATTATAGACTACAAACGAGTGATGTCCTATTCGCCTATTTACTGTAAGTATACAACCCCAATATCGCCGCTTCATCCCTTCTACCTATGGAATAAACGGTCGACGGCCCACGCAAGGTCTTTTATATTGATCCTGCTACCATATATACGGTACCGGTAGGTACAAAGTGATCACACATCACACGTAATAGTCGAGTCCATGGGAGCATATACATCCATACATTCGAAACCCATATCAAAAGTACTACTGAGAGTCTTCATGCTTGAACCAATCAAAGTATTGTGCTTTGAACTGTGAAGACAGACTATGCAGAGTGCTGAGAGCCTTGAAGCAACTGTCCTCAGTATTCATTCATGTTGGCTTGAATGAATAATCACGTCGTGCGATCTGTTTGGGCAGACTCGTAGTTGGGACTCTGCTGCCTTGTTCGCAGTATTAAAATGTTGGAAGCGGCGCCTCGGAAAGAAAAAAGTCGCGAGAAGACAGGTCCATTCGAGTATTGGTCCAAGAAGAAAAAAAACCACGCGGCTTTCTTTGGAATCCGATATGACTCCTCGAGCGTGAAAGTCCTTATTACATACATGATTCATTCTCCCAGCGAAAATTATTATCGGAACTGCGGCCCGCCGAAAGTCTAGGAATCAATCCGACCGCATGTGTTGTCCCTTTCTTCGTGTCAGAGAATACTGATTTGGAGATGACCAAGACTTGGACTTGGGCTCTCCGTCAGCGCTTCGTAGCTATAGTTGGGTTCTTATTGTCGATGATATCGTACGGTAGATCCCGTTTCGTGTTATTTTTGTTGTCACCCCCACCAAAAAAGGGTTTATTGGCGTCGTGTCATCAGAGGATAAGATAGTGCTGTACCAAGTTATGCGGAGAGTATGTCGATCCCGTATACCGGGTCGTTGTCCTCTTTTGATCCCATGGCTGGTACTGTAGCGAATCTGGAATGGACGGAAATTTATTACCATGATACTGCATGTCTCTCCTCCAACACATTATATCGTAAGAGCGGGAGCTTCTTTCATCTTGTCGATTGCAGTCTTTCTGGACCTGACCCTTGGTGAGCTTAGTTGGTAAAGATTCGGTGTATATTGGAACGAATTTGTATTGATGCCAAAGATGTGATGATGTATTTTGTGCGTGAAACTATATAGGTAGGTACTGTCATTGTCGATTTTATATTATTTCCACCGATCATACCATGATGGTCGTGCAGACCGTGCGTGTCAACTTGTGTAGTTCGCTTCTCTTTGTCGTGGGTGTTTTGAAATCCTTCTCTTGATCAGATTCTTCGCCTCTGGTGTGTCTGCGCGCCACAGTACTGTTAGTGGCCATCTGCCGGAGAAACAATGGTTTGTGTAGAAATTGTACCAAATAGTTCGTAGACTACGGTGCCACTAGAGGATTCCGAGCCAAAAAGTTCACGAGCGAGGCCGTTGGGCCTTAGTAGTGATTCTACATGAAGCCATGCAAAAATGCAAACTAAAAATATCGCACCACTTTGGCACTGAGTTGTGTAGAGAATGTACCGCAGCCGCCGTAGACTAGTGTCACTAGTGGAGTTGCGAGCCAAATTGAGAATCCAAAATCGCGACCGATGCAAAAAAAAGTTGCCTTGCACTTGAGCTTATTATTTCCAGTTTGAACTGAAAGTGAGACACTAAAGACAAGATGGCCAAGAAGAAGGACGGAGAATTCAAGCCCAAGGTAAGCAAATTGTTGCTGGAAACGCGTGTGTGGTTTCTATGTGGCATTGCGCATTGGAACGCCATTTGTTGTGTCACACTGAACTGCAGAAACTGCCTTCCGCCCATTGAATCTTGTCAAATGTGGGACTGCGGAGGCTTTTGCTGGTGGTCAATGACTGAAGATTGGGCAATATGAAGGGCAATGACTCGTACAACCACTTGCTGAATGGCGGTGTGGGCCAGGCTGCATCAAGCTTGGCTCTACAGTGCTGCCTCCAAGATGCGATGGAATTGCCCTTTTGTGTTCTGTGTGTGTTTTGTGTGTCGTGGAACGAACCTCTGCTCCATGCAATCTTTCCTCAACAAGTGTATTCTATTCTACTGTATTCTATTGTACTGCATTATTAACCCAACCTCTTTCTTTCACTCTCACCAGGCTGCTGCCAAGAAGGGAGGAGCCCCCAAGAAGAAGAGACCCCTCTCCGGTTTCATGAAGTTCAGCCAAGAAAAGCGTGCCGGTGTCAAGGAAGAGAATCCCGATCTTACCTTTGGTGGAATCGGAAAGAAGTTGGGTGAAATGTGGCGTGCTCTTACCGATAAGGAAAAGGAGTCGTACAAGACTGCCCCTGCTGTCGTCAAGGATTAAGCGTTTCTGCTTGTCCTTGCAGAAAAGCTTATGAGATGAGATAGGGATGATGTCATGATTTGTCGTTGTAATGATGAGGATGGTGCGACTATCGTATCACTGGACTGATATGTGACGGGTAGTATAGTATCGTATAGTATACTTACTTCCTGCCGGTATCACTGTGGTCGAACCAAACCAAGCCATCCACATCTTGCAACACCGGGGGAACGAGTAAAAGAAAAAGAAATTCGCATAGTATAATGCATAGTGTTGTATTATCTTATTGGAATTATATGTGTATATATTGTTGCGTTTATGTAGGAAGAGCTGTGGTGATGAGACATGCCAGGGGGGTTAGTTATAGTCATCAATGTTGCTACTCCAAATCATCGGCTCGCGATGTTATGGCGGCAAAGAGAAAGTTGACGCTTCAAGATAGGTACCATGACCAAATCGTAATACTCTGCCGCATTGACCCGAACAATGTCGAGCCGTGGGCGGTTTGATGTTTTGGAAGTACGAGTATATCAATCAACCATCCATCGCCTTGGAGCAGAGATGGTACGCCGACCGATAACAATCAATTCATTGTCTTCACATTGGCATCACCAACAAACCCAATCATGCTTTGCCGTAAAGTAAAATTCAAATACGGCATCAATTTCAAACCTCCAACGACATTCCATAAAAAATATCATCATTCTCGCCGCATTCGCTCTTCGTATTCCATTCGTTGCTCCATCAGTCGCTCCTTCATGCCATAGAAATCAAACTCCAAAAAAGACCCCTCCCGACTCGATGAGTCAGGATAAAAATGATCATGATCTTGATTGGGGCCACCCAAAAAGGCAGGCAAATCTTCCCATCCATTGAGCAGTACTTCTTCGGCCAATCGTTCTTGGCATTCTTCCTCTTCATCATCATCATCATCATCGCAAATGATAAGGCTTTCGGCCAATTCATCGGGCAACAAGGGAGATTGCATTTGAATCCATTCGTCCATTGTACTAGTACTCGATACAGGAGTGGTAATCCATACTTGATGGATTCGGTTGGGATATCCCTTGGTCAACAATTCTAGTATGGGTCCACTCCTACTAGCAGTAGCAGCAGCAGCAGCAGCAGCAGCAAACTTATTGGCATCATTGGGAGTAGGAGCGGACAACGACTCGGCATGACAAATGACACAAACGTTCGAAATACCATCCGGCATACCATGTTGAATGCCCAAGTCCGCCAGCAGTAGCAACGCCATCCTTTGAGCCTCATCCACAAGGTTCTCGTCCTCCTGTACTAGTAGTAATATCTTCGCTGCTGGCAACAAAAAACGGTGGGCCCGCACCCAGAGTATTGGTCGACCATCCTTGGTCATCCCATGCCAATAGACACTGCCAGTATTCAAAAATTTCACCAGATTTTGAGCACGCTTCAATTGACTTTGACTGACTTTCCAACGCTGCAGTTGGGCTTGCGACGCGGCCGCCATGGACACCAAATGCGGCAATTCGGAAACGTTTTGGACGTCACGCCATTCCATAATGTTGGACAAAACTTCAATGGTGGTCTTTAGTCAAGTAGAAGGGCGGGGGTAAAACAATGTTAGGATCATTGACTTGTGACAGCAGGCAGACCCACCCGCCGCCTCATTCCTCATTACTCATTGTCTAAGGTATGTATAAACCTACCTCAATAGCCCGTCTTGGGTTTCTATCCTTGGCATATGCTTGACATGCCATGGATCGAATATAGTCATCATTCAGAAAGTTACGATCGTTGGGAAAGGAATCCTTGAGTCTTGTTCGAACCATTTTGAGGGCAGGAATTGACAAGGAAAAGGATGCCTCTCCCTCGTCAGGAAAGTTTTCAAAAGCATCAAACCACACATAGGCGTCACTGTCGTAGAACAAATCTTCATCGTGGTAAGCGGCATCATCTGCTGACAACCCGTCTCTGATATTATTGTAACTTTCTCCTGTTTCACTGGCAGTAGTGCTGCTGCTTCCAATCGATACAAATGCACCTTGTTCCTTGGTGGTCCCCGCATGCTGGTGAGGCCGTTGGCAGTGAGAAAAGCATGCATTTCCCATGGTGGTGGTGGTAGTTTCAAGCAACCAAAACTCCTGCTCCTGTTGGAGATGAGATTTGTATCTTGTGTTTATTTTTTTGTTACAATGACCTCTAGTAGCTGCGCTTATTATTCCAGCACATGTGGTTCTCCCTTTGTACGTGCCCGCTGTTCGGCAGGCGAAGCCCGCAATTGGGAATCGAATGAATCCAAGCAGTAGAGAGGAATTACGCCTACGCGTGCGGGTGTTCTTGATCACTTATGCTATGTATGTCAATATTCGACAAACCCTTCTCTTGTCTGATGATTGGCCAAAAATGATCGCGGAATCGCGAAAGAAGGTCTGGCATTGATATCTACGATGTCTACGCAAAAAATACACAGGGTATGAAAACCGCAACTGGCATCTCTGTGAAGCAGCTCCATCCAATATATTGACGACAACTCTAACGATATTCCATTGCAACATATACAACTTCAACTTCAGCGTAGGCTAGTACATGGTTGAATGGATCAGGATACCGCTTCTTGGTGAATCGAAATTAGAGAGAGGGAAACAAATTGAAGCTTCGAAACAGCATCACTATATTCATCAATTACCATCTGAATTGATTGATTGATTGATCGCTGATGACGACGATGAGACAGAAAGCAAAGGGCGCGCTGAACTTCAGCGATCATGCGAGGCTGGATGTCGAAGAAAGCCTGTCGCCAGATAAAAGGACTCTGCTGACCAAAAAGGCCTCAGGATATTCTCGGATATCCATGCCAGCTATGAAACTAAAGTCTTCAATGGCTGAGTTCAAAGCCATGAGCAAGTCCACGAGACGAAAGTCCATGAATGACGGGATTGCGGTGTTGGATTGCATCTTGGCATCGGAACAAACCGCAAAGCGTCCCACATTGCAGCCATCACAAATTCAATCACTGGTCACATTAAGAAATTCACTGGAAACAGTTGAAGATCAGGGGAAGAAAAGTGCACCACTACTACCGAAGGAGGTTAAGAAGACGCATCGAGCGTTTATGAGCGATAGCTTTGATGGTATCTTCTCTGACAGTGAAGGCAGCACTAGCTCGGAGGAACATGAGGCGCCACGGGGTTCCCCCCAGGGCAGTATCGAACTTGATTTGATACAGCCAACATCATCCATGTTCAAGTATGGAAAAAAGCCAGAGACGGGGGTCAACGTTCTCTTTGCCTTTGGTGCTATTCCGCTACCTTCGCCACGCCAATCACGAAAGCAACTACGCCTCATGAGTAGTAGAAGGGTCAGTAGTAGCGTGATTCAACAAGGAGGCAGGTCCAATCTAAGGCTCAAGAAACTGGCCAGTCGGCGAGCCTCCTCTCTCTTGGCCAAGGTTCAATCTCACGCACCCAAAGAGTGGTACGCGATTACTGACATCAAACGAAAAGTTAGACTAGCAGAATTGCTGACATGGGATAACTTGTGCAAATGGGACTTTGATATGTTTGAAATTGACAATCTGACTGATGGTAATCCACTCTTGTTTGTGGGATGGGCCATTTTGTCGAGTCCTTACTCGCAACATGTCATGGAAGAGGTTTTACTGGAGCGAACGCAACGTCGACCGGTCCCTTTTGATCTAATGGAAGGGTACCGATTCATTGACCAATTTCACATTGATCAAAAGAAAATGACAAACTTTCTTCGGTCCATTGAAAAGGACTACTTTCACGAGAATCCATATCACAATAACATTCACGCGGCCGATGTTCTGCAAACACTGCACAGTTTGCTCCAAGAAATGGGTGGGATCCAGAAATTCCAACCGTCTCCCATGCAGCTATTCGCATCACTTCTCAGTGCAGTCATTCACGATGTTGGTCATCCGGGATTTAACAATTTCTTTCAGCAGTCTTCCCAATCTGAGATTGCACTGTGCTACAATGACCAAAGTTGCTTGGAGAATATGCATCTGGCGTTGGCCTTTCGAAAGTTGCTGGGGGGCAAGAAGAAGAGTTCTATCGACATCTTTGATGGCATGACTCCTGAAGAGGTGGTCAGTTGTCGAAAGCTTATGATTGGAAATGTTCTGGGAACAGATATGAGCAAACACTTTCAAGCCGTCAACGATATCAAGAGACGAATTTCGGAAATGAATGGATCTGCTAGTGAGGAAACGACTATTGAGGTTGTGAAATACCTGATGCATGCGGCTGACATTTCGAATGGCGCCAAGCCAAAGGACATTGCCGTCAATTGGGCTGACCGATGCCTGGAAGAATTCTTCCGGCAAGGAGACAAGGAAAAGGAAATGGGTTTGCCCGTCAGTCCACTTTGTAATCGCGACACTGTCAGCCGGCCAGAAAGTCAGAAGGGATTCATTGAATTTATCATCAAACCGACTTTTGAACTGCTGGTTGGGGTTATGCCATCGATCGGAAGCAAGATTATTCCAATTTTGGTTTCAAATCTTGCTTTTTGGAACTCTCAGATCCCACAAAAGGTGGTTGATGGTATGGAGCAACTGCATGATGACTTCCAGAAGAACGATGGTGTACCAGCCGATGACGAAACTGCATCCATGGCCACCAAAGACCGTCTGAGCATGGATTCCCTTTCGTCTCTGGACTTTGACGAGGATGTGCAGGAAGAACCAAGTGAAGAGCTGAGGCTTGAAGAAAATGGTGAGGAACTACTAGCGTCAGGCGAAGAATTGAATCGAGAACGCCTGAATAGTGATGAATTGCAAGAAGTGTTGGAAGAAGATGAAGAGGAGGACGAGGAGGTGGAGGATCCCAATCTGACAAAAGATCCTAGCGAGCTATCTTTTGGAAGCATGTCCTTTGCCGATGAAGCTATTTCGGAAAGGTCGAACGAAAACGGCGGGGAGAATTCATCATCAAACTGGTCCAATGATGATAATGGTGATAATGCTGTTAATGATGATGAAATCGAATATGACTCGGAAATGGAATACGAGTGCTAGCTTGGATTGGGAATTAATGAACATCATGGCATAAGACTTTTAAGAGGGGAGTTGACGGGGTGTATCTTTCTGTTTTGTGCTACTACAGTAGTTAGTTTGGCTGTTGAGTAATGCTCTGGGTGATCATTGATCATTCAACCAATGATTCATTCCTCACTCCATTGCCGGGTATCTTTTTGTATGTGTGTTTCGAGTCTCATCATCACTTCTATCGTTGCGTTGCAAGATTTCTGTAGCTTTTCAATGGAGAGACGTTTTCGTCTTGCGAAGGGGTGATGAGTCATTTCCGTTGAAGGGTCCCGAATCCTCCTCGCACGCGCCCGAAGAAGCCAACTTCCCGTATTTTTGATGCACCTCAACCTGCCGCCGCCCATGGCCATGAGATCCTTTCGCCGGTTTCCAATTCAAAATTAACCGAAGAACCAAGCCTCAGGAAAGGATAAGAAGGGATGGCATCTACCCAACAGATCAGTCGGCAATCCAATGCCTCCGTTCGATTGGATCAAATCCAGTCTGAAAAGCCTAGAATAGAAGTTGTTCTAAAGAAAAATAGTGATGCTGAAACATTAGCAAGTACCTCCAGCAACGAAGAGAAACGAGAGAAACTGGCTGCAACAGAATCAAGGCAGCCTCAGGCGGCACAGTTGAAAGAGAAAAGGCAGCAAGAAAGGTTGAGAGAGGCATTAGACAAGGAATTAGATGATTTAGATCTTCCGAAATTGGAAGATCAGGTGAAACAAATTCCGCGCAAAGGAAAGAACTTGGATTGGGTTCCGGATTCTATCGTCATTACCAACAAAGATTACGACTCTGACGATGACGAATCAGATAATTGCTCACTGATATCTGGGCTTACGCTACCGCAAGAAATCTCGCTTTTAAGACAGATTGCCGATAAACATCATCATACTCACAGTAGGCAGAGCAGGACCAGTAGTAGGACAAAGGAAAAGAGCAAATCTTCATCCAAGGGCAGCAAGTCATCCAGGAAAACGAGAAACAAGGTGGCCGCAAGCCAGATATCTTCCAAATCTGCGGATATTGCTTCTCACGGTAAACGGAAGAGTCGACCGACCACTGATGCAGGAGATCTAAAACCTGATCGAGCTCAGAACATGGAGATTGAAATCAAAATGAATGGCCAGATCCAAAAAGGTAGCTATTCCGGAGCTCTCTCACAGACAGTACCCCGCCTACCATATGGTGCCGGAATCATCAAGTTTGACAATGGTGACATGTACATGGGTGATATGATGGACGGCCAAATGCACGGGCACGGTACTTTGGTGAATGGAGACACGGTGCTCCGAGGAGAGTTTGAACACAATATGTTTGTAGTATGATGATATTACACCACAGGACTACAACAATGTTAACAGTATAATTAATAAAATAATAATCATATGATACAATGATTGCAGGCACCATTATTCTCGTTGCCATCGCACTGGTTCTATTCGGTCATGGCTCAGATTAATTGTAATACTATGTACGATACGATAAGTGTCAACCACGTCGATCATGTGTGTCCATCTGTTTCCTGCTCGCACACGTGTCGGCGCGTCAGCATCATTTTTCACAGAATTCTGAGAAGGTTATACCTGTCATCTGTCATTATCTGTCGTGATCTGTCATCATACGATTAAAACAGATATCACAAACCTTTGAGCGATGAGGTTTCTTTCCCCGTCTTCCGTTCTTCTTTTATTGTTAGCACTGGCTTACAATTGCCATGCCTTTAATAGTGCTGCCAATCCATCTGCCATCGTAAAGAGCGGCGCCCTTGCTGATTTTGATTTTATTAATCAAGACAAACTGCCGTGGATTAAGGAAGGGTACAATACTTACAAATGGAGAGATCAAGAAATCAATTACATTGAAATGGGTGACTCTTCCAAGCCAGCGCTTGTGTTGATCCATGGTTTTGGGGCTTCATCCTATCATTGGAGGTACAACATTCCTGCTCTGGCTCGAAAATACCACGTCTTTGCCTTTTGCAAACTTGGTTTTGGGCTTTCCAGCAAACCCATTGTGGAATATTCGGCTGATGTTTGGAGAGATCAAACAGTCGACTTTCTCAAGGATGTCGTCCAAAAGCCAGCAACATTGGCAGGAAATAGCTTGGGTGGCTACACTTCCCTTTATACTGCCGCAACTGAAGAAGCGAAGTCTTTGGTGAATGGAGTGATTCTCTTGAATGGAGCTGGGAGATTTCGAGACAGTCGTATGGAGGAAGAGCCAAAGGAGCCGAATTCAATCATCAAAGCCATTCAGACAGGCTTTCTGCGCTTCATCATTGGAGCATCCTTCGTCATTACCAAGCAGCCAGCCAGAATCGAGCAAGTCCTCCGACAAGTTTATCCCAATAACGACAAGAACGTCGATCAGGAACTTGTAGAATCAATTCGTTTTCCTGCGGAAGATCCAAATGCATCCGAAGTTTTCTACCGAGTCATTACCAAGAATGGATCGGGGTCGACTGTTTATGTTGATGATTTGTTGAAGAAGATGGACTGCCCACTGCTTCTGTGTTGGGGTGAGAATGATCCATGGATTCGACCACAGGCCGCCGACAAGGTCCAACAGATTTACCCCAAGAGTCAGCGTGTCAGTATCAATGCTGGACACTGTCCGCATGATGAAGATCCGGAGGCAGTCAATTCGGCAATTATAGATTTCATGGATGGGATTGCAGCAACACAAAAAGCTTAGGTCCACATTCCACATATACGGAGAGATAGAGACCATACAAGTGTATACATATAGCTTCTAGATTGTCTATTGTTGTTACAGTGGTTGTACGCATTCATTCATCCGGTGGTTGCATGATTCTATAGTTTCGAATTTGTAGCGATTGCAGCCATGGGACGACTTGGACTTCCAAAATCTGAATCACCTGGTTTCTGATTTTTCGGGAGTATTATTGGTCTTGCTAGGGAAGAGCACGAATTTTCGTTTCGGAGTATCCCCAGATTCCTGCCGTTCATACTTTTCCAGGCCTCCATCCACAGACGATGCATGTCGTTCGAACATATCCTCGTCTGCCTCCAATTTCATTCTTAAACTTGGAGTCGACTGTAGGCTCTGGCGTCGTTCGGTATCTTGAATGAGTCCAGCAAGAGCTTCTTCCTTCCTCCGGACCTTCGACCGAGCAGATTCGATTCTCACCAGGTGGTTTCTCCGCTTTGGTCCGGAATCTCCTGAGGCACGCCTTGGAGCAGGAAAATCGTCCTTGTCAAACGAAGCAGAAAGCTCATCGGCAACGTGAGTGAAAGATACGGGATTATTCTCTTCGGTGACAACGGGCATTTTGTAACTCATATTGCTGTGGCTGCTTGCAGTGGATTCAACGTCCGAGATGTTTCCAGCACTCCATCCTGCCATTGTAACACGAGGGGTGTTTGGGTTTGAGAATCCATCATCACCGATTCTTTCCATGGATGAAGGCTTTCGAATTTGTTTCGCAGCGGTAGCACGAGAAAATGGTGACTGGTCGCGGCTTGCAATATCCTGTTCATCCCTCGCTGGCATTCCCCTAGTAGATGGTTTCATAGCTTCTTCCACGTTCAACGACCGTGTACGCTTTGGTGGCCGGAACGAATGTTTGAAACCTACATCCTCATCCTCATGAGGGCTAGGCTCGTTATCACTCTCATTGCTTTTTCCTTTTGTGGCACGTGAAAATTCCATGAATGGGGACAAGGATCTTGTTGGTTTTTGAGCCCTCTGAGAACCAGGTTGTCGGCCCATCCGAGAGCCACCAAACCGACTCTCTGCCCTTTGATTGTGCGAAAGCGATTGGCCGAAGCCATCGTCACTGTCGTCATCGTCTTCGAAGCCAAACAACCGGTCATCCATAGATGTTGCACGAGGAGGCAAGGCATCATTAGCATCGTCGTCTTCGGGAAGGGTGTTGCCCCATGATGCCCCACGATCGAGAGATCCTTCCCTCGTCTGACGGGGTTTGGGCTTACGCCGTTGCTGAGAAGAATTGAAAGACCTTGTGCCAATTGACATGGTGTGTCGTTTTCCTTTGCTACCGTGTGAGTTAGGTGTCGATAGATCATCCCTGTCTGCAGAACGGGAACGATGCCTTGTCGGCGCGGTTTTGACACTCATGACACTGGGCCTTGATGAGGAGGAGGCAGTCGAAGCGCAATCGGAGCGGGTGGTCGCATCTGCTTGGGACATCTTTTTGAAAGCCGAATCCAGTGAAGGTGGCCTCTTCTTTTTTGGCTCTTCTTCGTCGAATGACTTGTCCACACTGGACGATCTTCTTCGATTTGATGGGGTGACATGGAAAGGAGTGTGCCCTGGTGTTCTTCCGACACGATCCGAATTCGAGAAGGAGTCTCCATCAAAGGACTTGTCAGTAGTATTGGAACCGAGGCGCTCCGATGGTGCCCTCAAATCGCTACGAAAGGAATTGTCAACATTGGAGAAGTCCTTAAATCCTTCATCTCTGCTTAAACTCGCTGAGAAATCATCGCTATCTCCATCAGCTGCAAATGGGTCCGCATCCTGATCGCCAAATGCATCGTCCCCAAAGGCATCTCCCCCAAACGCGTCGTCGAACGATTTGCTTGGTTCGTCGCCAAAGGCAAATGGATCCATACTTGCTGCCGTTTGTGCACCGAAATTAGTGCTGCCGGGGAAAGTATGGTCTGCTCCATCGAAAGAAAAAGGATCTGCAAATGCGCTGTCTTGTCCGCCGAAAGCATTCGCTTCAGCAGTCTTCAGTGATTGGGTCTTTCCGGTTGTGTCGAACGAAAACGGATCCGTACTTGACGTATTTTGACGGTCAAAAGGATCCGCCTTGGAGGAAGGCTGCAGCGGCTGGCTGGGTGTTTGCAACGATGGAATTGGGTCGCCGCTGGATGAAGTTTCTGCATCAATCGGAGTCTGTGAATCGGGACCATTGGCCTCGGATCCTGCTTCCATCGACGGAAAGTCCGCATCTATCTCACCTTTATCAGTATTTGTCGTTTGCTGTGTATCGGAGGCATGTGTGGTAAAGGGCTCGTCCAAAGATTGAAGAATATCGTTTGCGGGGGGCAATGGCTCCTCTGGAAATGCAAGCTCTTCACCAAAAGGGTCTTGTGAATCAGGCCCACTTGTATCATAAGTTTCTCTCAACTCTTCTTCTGCCGACGAGTGAGATGAGTGGGACGAATGCGAAATGTGCGAAGAGTGCGATGACGAATCATCATCCTGCTCTGGTTTGGGTTCTTCACTTTCAATTGGAATTTGTGGGAGCAATGCATCAGCCACGAATGATGAATCCGCCGCAGCTCCAACTTGAGATTTATTGGATTCTTCAAGAGCTTTTGGTTTTGGTGAGACAAAAGAAAAGTCCACTGCCTCACCGAAATCGTCCTCTACCGATTCATCATCTTCAGTGAACAAGTCTTCAAAGGCAATTGGGGCCTGCGGTTTGGATGACAAGCCATCCTCGTCACCAAATGTGTCAGCGCTAAAATCATCAAGTGACATGGTTTCCGCACTGCCTGCCAACATTGTCTCCGGCACGGAAGCTAGGAAAGATTTGCGGACATCACCAAATTCTCCAACCTGCGATATTTCCTTCGACAAATCCGGTCGGGAGCTGTCAAAGTCTGGAAAATTTGGAAAATCCTCAGGAAACTCGCTCTCCTGCTCTTCATCAGCTGAGTCCAGAGTCGCTAGTGGTGCCGCTGTCTTTGTTTGGGTAAATTGTGGCGACGGGAAGAGTTTCCCGTCATCGAAATGCAGCGAGCTGTCAATACCAGAGCTGTTGGGACCATCTGATCGTTTCCCTTCTTCTTGCTTCATCTCTGCCAATTTCGTCTCTTTTTCCTTTTCTTTTTCTCTGGCTTCGGAGAGTGATATCCATTGCAACACCTCCTCAAGCTTATCCATATCCAGAAATTTCCTTTCAACATATTTTTCTTTCAGAAACGCTTTCCTCGGGTTCATCAATGCCCTCGGTTCCGGTCTTCCCGTCACTTCCTTCGCTTCATAAACTGAATTGACAACATTGTTTCCTCCCAGTTCGATAGCTTTCAGTTCTTCTTCGGTCCCTGTTCATTCATTGGGAAGATCGAAAAGCGATGATTGATGAATTCACAGTTGACACGATATTATTTCATCAAATTGACAAGTTTTCCAGAGTATCATCAGCAAATTGAGAGTAGTGGTATAAAGTAGACACACAGGTGAGTATAAAGAGTCAGTGCAAAATACGGATCGATCCGTCCGATACTCCAACTTCAGGGACTTACACTTGTCCATCGCCATCATCTTTACGCTACAGAATTTAGATCCTATTCCGCGTTGCACTCCAGAACACCGAAAACAGATGAATACGCCAAGCATCTTTGGTACTGATTCATGTTCTACAGGTTCTTCTCTTTCTGGTAAGACGATTAGCGAGGTCCATGTTGGTCTCGGAGCCATGCAATCGGCGCATGATGTGTTGCCATCGAATATCGTCAGTTTCCGAAGACGGTCTTTGGTCTCCCTGCTGCTCATTCTAGCATATGTGCAATAGCTTTGTGCTGTTGTATCTATTGGATTTCTAATTTGAGTGTGCAGTTACCATGGATTTGCTCTCAAGGAAGATTAACTATTGTATCAAGAGCTCCTAGATTTGTTTTTGTTGATAAGAATGAACCGGTGTGAGTTATTACGAGTGTTTTTCATGGTTTGATCCAACCAAAAATGACCTCGTGGAGCCGAGCCCGCTTGTTGTGGTCATTATGGGGCGAAAAAAAAACCTCTGTTTATTGAGCAATCTGACATACACGTGCCAATTGCTTCTGAATTCATTATCGACGTGTCTTGGCTTTTGCTCGCGCGAGAAAGCGAATCTGCCACAGATGTCATCATCGTTCACGTTTTTTGTGGCATCAGGAAAGCTTGGTAGACTGACTCGTTGGACATGCTACAGCATCGTTGAACTCTGAGGACTCGAAAGATATGGTGCTTAATTTGCAAAGAAACCTGTCGATGGCGAGAAATACATCTTTAGGTACAGCATATCATAAATGGATAGTCTAAAATAAAGTGTAAGGCGTATTTTACAAGTAGTTGAAACAAGAGGGAAGCTTTTAAGCTTCGCCAGTCTCAGATGCTTCAATTGGAGCAATGTTGTCATCAGTTATTTTTGCCTGCTTGGCTGCCTTCTTGGCCAAGATGGCTTCTTCTTCCTCGCTATTCACGATATCAAGAGCCTTGAGCTCCAATTCAATTGCCTTTTCGAAAGCAGCCTTTTCAGCCCCCTCACTGTCAGCAGCCATCTCACGAAGTCCCTTGATGTTGGCAAGCATTCGCTCGCGCTTTTGGGAAGGGGTTTCCTTTCCAGACAAGTTTTGGATGGCTTCTTCCCAAGTGGCAGGGTTTCCATTCAGGACGTTGGTTCCCATTGTGAATTCGCGTCCAGGGTGGATAGAAGTGTCGGGCTTGCCTCCAGCAGCACGTTCTTCGGCAGTTCCAACGTAAACCTCGTCGAATTGGAATCCAGCAATCTTCTTGTGGATGGTTCCAAAGAACCAAGAGGCGGCACAGATACCGGTAGCTTCAATGGCTAACACAACGTTCAACATGACAAACACGAAGGGGTTGGAAAGGAAGGCAATGGGGAAGGCGGAAGCGACCAATTGCCAAGAGATGGAGGCAAGGATGGTGGTGATGATAGCTCCAAGGAATCCCAAGTTGAAGAATTCTTGAAGACCGTCTGAGACACCAAAGATGTTCTCGTCCTCTCCGATCTTGATGTTCAAAGTGGTGACACGGGCGGCGACGAAGAAGATAAGAGTAACGGTGACTTGACGTCCAACCATGAATCCTGGAAGGTTGCGTCCCTCTCCCTTGAAGAGCAAACTGCACGTTCGCATAGCCATAGGGTGGTCTCCGCGTTCCTCCTTCTTTAGCTTGGAAACGGCAAAGAAAGCAATTTGCATGGCCTCAAGAAGACCGACAAGGGATAGCAACACAAAGAAGATGATGACTGCGGCCCAGTTGGGGATGACGTCCCACATGGTGGTTTGTCCCTTGAAAAGAGCTTCAAGGGTGACAGCCAAAGAAAAGCAAAGGACGACCATGGAAAAGAGAACACGTCCCCAGTGGAAGAAGGCCTTCACAGCATCGCGTGGTGGTTCGTTGGTCACAATGGGCTTTCCGGCGGCCCAGTAGAAGCAGTCACGGATCAAGTAGCACACGTGCATGAATCCAGTCATCTCGATCAACAAGGTGCAGTACAAGGTAAAGGTCATGAAGTGCGTGTTGATGTAGTCAAGCATGCAGTGAGAAGCGTTCACTTGGGCAGTCAATTGTCCAATGTTCACGTTTGTCAACACCATGGCAATACCAGATCCCAAAAAGATGTCAGACACCCATTGTGGAAGACCAAGAACGGAGGCTCCTTCAAGTGGAGCTCCGCAAAGAGAAATGGTAAAGTTGATGAAGATAACCATGAATTGACGTCCCATTAGGTAACGGTCAAGGTTGTCTCCCTTGTGTCCAAGAGAACAGATTTGGTAGGTGATCTTGTGGGACTCTCTGTAAAGCTCACGGTCAATTGGGGGAAGACCGACCATGGAGCATTGTCCACCTTCGACCATACTCATCCAAAGAATACCGAGCCACATGACAACAAGGGCAACGACGGGGTGAGCATCGTTGGCAACCTTGGTGTTCTCAGTGAACATCAATGCGGTGACGATGACCACAGAGAAGATGACAAGGCATGTCGAGTAGAACTGCTTGAAAATATCGAGGGGGCTATTGGACAACATATTGATAAAAGAAATTCAAGTTGCCAAAAAAGTGGATAGATTGCGTGCTTTTCTTTCGCTAGAGATTTTGCGGCCAGGAGCATTTGCACGTGTCGGCCGACTTTTTTTACACGTCTACGCTTCCGTCTTAGTACTTCTTCTAGCCGTTGGCAAAAGCTGCAACGCCTTTCGTTAAATTTTCGAAATTTTCCGATGTGTACACGATTTCACTTACACTTTCTACTGCCACGTGAGCCAATGTCATTCGTTTACTAATTCTATAATTCCCAATGCGAAACAGACACGTGCACTCATTTATTTCGCCTCCTAATTCCAAAACCGACATCGGATACTTTTGAAAAACAGATTGTTCAGATACGGCATGTACCGATATGCCATGATACTCAACCCTTTAGCATGCCTTCAACTTGCATCATTACTTACCACAAGCAACGCATCACAAAGACTAATGGTTCTTGTTCAGTTAACTTTTACTGTTGGTGGAGTTTCATCAGAAAAGACATGACAGAATCAATCAATCAATCAATCATTTTGATTTTGTGAGGCAGTATATAGTCCATTCTGAGAAAACGACAGATTGAAGTTCTTCCACCATCTAGCGCCCACAACTTCCTTTGACTACAATCAACATGATCATTTCGGAATGAGCAGTTCTGACCATTCAATACACAAGCTACAAAAGCGCCAACTTGATTTTGATCATGTTGTTCGTTGTAAAATGGATTGAACTCAATAATTGAAGAATGGAACGCGAATAAGACGATGCTGAATGTTCAGTGAAGTGATGGAAAACAAATTTGAAGACCGACTTTAGCAAAAGGCTTTAAACTGAAGAATGAGAGCCAAAAGAATAAACATGACAATCACCATTGGTCCTCATCAAAACGCCCTCGTGGAGAGCGAAGATTGGATTCGAGATTGGATTTGCGAGTTTCATGCTTATTCACATATATGATACCAAAAGACAACTGGCTCTAGACTGCAGATGACCCACAAAATATCCATCCAGGTCTAAGGAAAGTAATATTGGTACAATATTCGTCCATTCTACAATACCAATTGTACACTTGTGTTTGATTGTTCTATGATGTCACACCATATACAGCATTAGTCCTTCTCCCCCCCCCCCGACTATCATCTGTCATATATTCTATTAGGACCTGCCCAATTTCCCCTTCCATCCATTGTAGTCTGGACCCGGCTTGTAGTCCTTGACCCACTGACGGAACTGACTGGAGTTTTGTTTGGCCACGGAATGGGATGCTTGAGAAAACATCTTGTTCCATTCTGGAGAATCCAAAATGGGATACCACCACAATCCCGCTTGGGTGGCCAAAAAGTCATCCATCGTATCTTGATCCATGGCCTCGTAAAATGCCTTGACGAGTGGATCACTGCAGACTTGCTTGGCGTCAAAGTTGCGAATCTCCAATCCATCCATCGACTTGGCCCGACTCAGCGCCACATAGGATTGACCCGTGGCGAAGCAACCCTTCAAGTCGACCAGTACCAAATCCAATGTGGACCCTTGGGACTTGTGTACTGTCATGGCCCAAGCCAGACGCAATGGCAATTGCTTGCGAAGACATGTTCCTTGTCGGAAGAGCGATCGTTTGAATTCGGATGGGAGAATGATACGTTCTTCGTTGTTGAGGAACCGAACGACGGGAAATTTGACAAACTATCCGTGTCGTTGGTGCCATTTACAAAAGAAAAAAGAAAATTGGAATGTGATGAAATGCATATTGTGAGAGAATTGTTTTGGGCATTCAAGTGGAAGAGTATCCGAGGCATCCGACTGGCAGTACATCCCATAGTTATTCACAAAACAAAAAGGCCAACACACTCACCTTGAAGACAGTCCATGCTCGTTGATCGAATTCTACTGTGGTACCGAATTTGAGTTCATCGAATCGTCTTCCAGCAAACTTGTCTCGATCGTAGGGATCCATCAATCGTTCTTCCGTATGCTTGTTGTCCCTCACCACCGGAACCAATTGAAAGCGAATCACCACACCCCGACTCCCATTGACCAACTGCTGCTTTGAATTATTATTGCTGCCACTACGACTAGTAGAATACTTGCCGCCACGGTCTTCGGACACATTTTGCAAGAGCATGACTTGAGCACCCACTTTTAGTTCCAACGTCGGAGCTGCTTGACAATGATCAAAGAACTTGTTGCGCAGCAAAGATTCCCTGAACACACCACGAGATGACTCTGGTACCTCATCATCCACTTGGACAGAGTCAATCGCTTTAAATACCTTTGCCAAACTTCCTTGACTCTTGAGCGACAAGAGCGCCCGACGATTTTCCTCATCGACATTTCGATTGGTACAATACAAGACGGTGGGTCGAATCCCACTAGCAATGGTTTCGGAAGCTCCCGGTCGGTTTTGCAGTGGCGTCTGACATTGTTGAATTAGATGTTTGACATTGGCCGAGTCCGCCTTGGATTCTCGCAAGTCTTGTAGCGCTCGGATAAAGGCTTGGTCCGACTGTTGGCGGTATACCTTGCGCAAATGGACGTGGACAAATTTGGCTTCTCGCCAAAGGACCGATTGAAAGGCATAGGCAGTGCATTCTTGTAAGTTCATAAAGCAATCGGCACTAGGATTGCTTGGATGATACGGCTTGGACTTGCGCAAACTCAAACTGCCAGGGATGGGACCAAGTTGACAGAAGTCGCCAACCAGTATGAGTTGAATCCCCCCAAAGACTTCCAGAGGAGCACGCTACAGTACAAGGAAGGTGTTCCAAAATGGGCAGTAGTCCAGTTCAGTCCAGTCCAGTCCATTCAGTTATTTAGCTAGCTGAAAAGAGGTAATGATATACAAGGAATCGACTCAGTTGGGAACTTACTCGAATCCTCCGCACATGAACATCCAACCAATCGATGAATTCGGCCGTTACCATGCCTATTTCATCAATGACCAGCGTTTGTAGCTTCCGCCATTTCTTGCTTGTATTCGGCGAGAACATATTTCCAAAATCCCGTGCCTTTTGTGGCACCGGAATCCCTGCCAAAGAATGAATGGTTTGGGCGTCCAGATCCAAATTGACTGCGGCCACCCCGGTGGGTGCGGCCACTGCCACTTGTCGTCCAGCTTGCTGACAAGCCGTGACGATTCGCTGAGTGACTCTCGATTTGCCAGTCCCCGCAACACCCGTCACAAAGACATTGGCACCGGACAAGGCCGCGTTGACGGCTCGTTTCTGGAGAGAATCCAAATCCGACGTGAGATCGGTCGAGACGTCTTGGAGTGTCTTGCGTTTGGTGTCTTCTCTTGAGATCCAATCGGGTAATGGCCGTGCTTTTCGTTTGCGCTTGTTCACATTATTGAGTCTAAAGGCTGTATTGGTCATATTATTGGATTGGCTAGAAAAGGAGTTGTTGGTCAATGCAACTGTTTGGACAATGAGCTACAAACTGCACGGTATATTAGCATTGCTATATTATTGTTGAAATTGGAATGTGTAATCGAACGGGTCAAAAACACCCACATATTTTGGCGCACCGCAGTACAAAGGGATGGCTTATAATTCAGACCTGCTGCTTGCCTCAAAAAATCTTAATGGTTCCATTGTACAACAAGTAAAAGTATAGTATAGTCATAAGGCAGGGATACGCGATTAGGATGGCAAATCGATAGGCTAAGGTAGGAGATGGTCGAATGAGTTGACCCACAGGAACTTCGTCACCTACAGGGCGTTTGGGCGAGATGTATACCAGGAGGAATGGGATGACGCAGTTGCGAGTTTAAATACGGCATGCGGTACTTTTTGAATTGTTGGTGAACAAACAAAGTAATGAATAGAATGAATGAATCGATTGTCTCATTCATGCGTCATTCTTATTTATTCATTCCCATTGCTACTACAATTACTATATCCACTACTACGTTAGTGGCATGTGGTGCATCTTTCAAAGATCATGACTGCTCCTTCATTCAAGCAGCAAGGATTGAACACAGAAGAAATCAACATTCTGGGGACACACTTTGTTGCACCACATTGTCGAAAGCCTGGCTGTCGCCGATCCAACGATGACGAGCCTCTCCACCCGATTATGGACAGTGATCCCTGCATGGGGCTGTAGCACAGTTTGTGGATTGGGAATACTGTAGGTCGAAATGGTGGACAAAATTTACAGTACACGTGTACCGGTATTGGTCGTATTGGGGGTTACCAGGTACCGGCAAACCCAAAGGTTCACAGTGCGCTTCGTCTCCCTTTCTCTCTCTCTCTTTTCCAAGAAGTGTCGCAAGACGATTGACGACTCCTGCAAGATTCCAAAAACCATGATGCTCCTGTTCGGTTTCACCAGCAGCAGACGACGATTGTTGGCTGAACTTCAAAACTGTCCAGAACGAAAGAGGACAAAATGCGAGAGAAGCTTTGTTGAAGAGGTGTAATGACCATGCAAATGTAGAAGAAAGCGTTGTTAGTTAAGGTACATTGCCCAAACTAGCAATGGAGGGTCCACCTGAAGCAAGAAGAAGTTCATTCTTTGGATCAAGAACACGCCCATCGTCTTTAGCTTCTTGACGCTTGACATTCAAATAGGAGTCACCTGATGACATGTACCGGTAGTGCCGCCGCGTAGCCGAATCAATCAATATTGTGGACAGTCAACCCATTCAAAGCGTTGTTTTCCAAGCTACAGGCTTCAAAGTAGTGTGCCCTCATCGGATGGCGTTGGTGAAAACGTTGGGTCGAGACACTCGTCGTGAATTGTGGATTTCGAATCGAAGTATGTTGAATGAAACAATCGATCTTGATGTGGTCCAACCACTCGGATCTAGATGGTCAGAATAAAGTCATATATCTTCACCAAGGTGTCCAGCCCATTGGAACTTGGCACAGTAAAGATTAGTCAATCATTTTCGCGCATTTAAATAGTCCAAATACCGCCCACAACTCAAGAAAAGCAACGAGGAGGAATCCAAATTTCTAGCCGACCGTCGAATGGTTCACTAGAAACAATGGCAAATGCTCCAAATTTTACCACCAAGGAGCGCAAGGGTCTGAATTTATCGCCAGGATTTGAGTAGTATTGGAAGCAACGAGCTTGAAAACCATGTTTTCGCATGTTCGATGATGGATTTAGACGATGAAATCCAAATCAACAAAACAAACATTCCGAAATCCGAACGACCGCACAGTTGCATCAGGCATCAGATTGATTGATTCATTGATTGATTCTTTCACCAAAAACGAATCAGTTGGGTAAATGGTGCTTACGGAAGTATCAAATCATCTACTGTTCCACTCGTGTGTCATCTTCTAGAGCGAGATAGATTACTGGCAGACATGCATCGTCACCACATCAGCACAACATAGTCGTATCTTCCTTCGAATGTTCTAACAAATTGAAAAAGTTGCTGTCTTGAGCGAACTGCAACTCAAGCACTAAATCTCTAGTGGTGCAATAGACACTAAGAATTGACCATCTCTCCCCACAAGAATCACAGGTTTCATGACAAGATTCATTGGCATGGAATTGGATCTCCATCCAGGCAAGAAACTTGAATGACGTCACACACCAAAAGATACCATCCGTGTTGGCCGTGTGGGGATAAAACCATTTCGCGGTCTTCAGCGATTTTGGAATCCCGTGAACGCAGATCGCTTCACGTGCAATTTGTGTACAATCCTGTTGGCCTCGAGACAGCATACCCTACTGCACGGTATTTTGCCGTTATTCAGACAAAAGAACGAACAAATCCAATGATCAAAAGAAAAACAGCCAACGCAGTACATTTCCACGCAATATCTACAGCCTGAGACCGATCTTATGAAACCAAAATTCGCCGATACAGACCAGGCCGGCGCAACATGTACAACTCACTGTCACCATTTCGAACCCAAGATCTTTTCTTTGAAAATCTCATTCCAAGTCTCACAATTTTGATCGAACCAAAACAACATCTTTGCAATATGTTGTCCAACAGCCCCCTCGATATCTTCAAGCAGTTCTACTCGACATGCCTTGTCATCTTCTCTGTGGTCATCGTCACCGCATTGATGTTCACTGAGAACACCAAGGTTGCCAACGATGCTCACCCTGTCGTTGCCCTTGTTGTCATGTGGCTCGGTATTCTTTGGATGAGTATGGTCGAAGGTGGACAATGCTCCATGGTTGGTCTTCCCCCAATTGACCGTGAGCTCTACAGAGAGTCCCACAAGATCACCTACCAAATCTGTTCTCTCGGACACAAGGGAGATAACCTTGACCGTTACCTCATGGGACGTCAATTCATGGTTATCTTCATCAACTTTACCATTTCTCTTTGCGGATCTCCTCTGGAGGGAGCCTCCGTTCTTGGTCTTCCACAATGGGTGTCTGACATCTTTTTGGGATCTGGTATTGCCATGGTGTTGACAAACGTGAACATTGGACAATTGACTGCCCAAGTGAACGCTTCTCACTGCATGCTTGACTACATCAACACGCACTTCATGACCTTTACCTTGTACTGCACCTTGTTGATCGAGATGACTGGATTCATGCACGTGTGCTACTTGATCCGTGACTGCTTCTACTGGGCCGCCGGAAAGCCCATTGTGACCAACGAACCACCACGCGATGCTGTGAAGGCCTTCTTCCACTGGGGACGTGTTCTCTTTTCCATGGTCGTCCTTTGCTTTTCTTTGGCTGTCACCCTTGAAGCTCTTTTCAAGGGACAAACCACCATGTGGGACGTCATCCCCAACTGGGCCGCAGTCATCATCTTCTTTGTGTTGCTATCCCTTGTCGGTCTTCTTGAGGCCATGCAAATTGCTTTCTTTGCCGTTTCCAAGCTGAAGAAGGAGGAACGCGGAGACCATCCCGTTGCCAAGCGAACCTGCGAGCTTTTGTTCAAGGGAGAGGGACGCAACCTTCCAGGATTCATGGTTGGACGTCAAGTCACCGTTACTCTTATCTTCTTCGTCGCCGCCCGTGTCACCACTTTGAACATCAAGATCGGAGAGGACGAGAACATTTTTGGTGTTTCTGACGGTCTTCAAGAATTCTTCAACTTGGGATTCCTTGGAGCCATCATCACCACCATCCTTGCCTCCATCTCTTGGCAATTGGTCGCTTCCGCCTTCCCCATTGCCTTCCTTTCCAACCCTTTCGTTTTCATCATGTTGAACGTTGTGTTGGCCATTGAAGCTACCGGTATCTGTGCCGCCTCTTGGTTCTTTGGAACCATCCACAAGAAGGTTGCTGGATTCCAATTGGATGAGGTTTATGTCGGAACTGCCGAAGAACGCGCCGCTGGAAAGCACCCCGATCGCTCCATTCACCCTGGACGTGACTTTTCCATGGGAACCAACGTCCTTGTTGGAAACCCCTCCACCTGGGAAGAAGCCATCCAGAACTTGTCTGGAAAGGAATCCTTTGCCACCAAGCGCGAACGCATGCAGTCTAACATTGCTGACTTGGAAGCCTTGTCTGCTGATGCCTCTCCTGCTGAGCAACAAGTGTACCAAAACGCCATTGAGATGGAGAACAAGGCCATGCGTGACTTGGAAGTCGAGGAGGAAGAAGCCAAGGCCGCCAAGGCTGAGGAAATGGCCTAAACGATGCCACCAATTTTGCATTATCAGCGCGTCCAGCATCGACTTGCATGGACGCAACTACATGTGAACCGATCAGTACTACTATAGGGTGAATGAAAATAATATATAATATACAAATCAATATATCCAATCACTCAGTATAGCAGAATGCCCAGAATATTTTTGTTGGCTTTTAAGGTAACTCGTCGACGACACAAGCTTTTCCAAGTCACCCGGTGGGAAGCTAGTTTTAGGGTTAGGGCTGTTATGGTGGGAGCCTACATTCCGCAAAATACAAACACTGCGACAATGGTTCCTTCACGGGACGAGAAGGAAAAGCTTTAGTATCCGGGTTTATAATGTACGAAACTGTATGCTTTCGCTTTGTTGAGATCATTAATGCCTTCTTGCGATTGATTGAATTTCCGTCGTCAAGCCAATCACCCACTTCTCCAATTAAAAATTTGTAAATTATTATACAGTCTTGTTCGATCCATTTCTGATCTCTTTGGGTTGATTGATGTGGATTTTTAAATTTGTTTGAATTTCCTTCGTCAATCGTTATGATGCGCGTAGTATAGATGAGAGATATCCACGATTCCTTCAGAGGACCCCCATATATTAGCAATGTAGTAACATGTACTGGTACCGTACATAATACGGTAGATGAAGACAGAATTGATTCAATACTGCCAAAGAGAGCAAGCATATTTTATTAGTACTTTGGAATGATCGTGCGACGTACGTACGCATACATTTTTTGTCGACGGATTTGACTGCGAGTGACGGAGTCTCAAAAGATCCACTATACTGTATAC